TGATTTATGACTCTATTTATTCATTTATTAAATGATTTTCATTTTATTTATTTAAACAAAAATGTCTTATTTAATGGAAATATTGCATAACTAAATATTTTATATTAAAATGCAGTGTAAGTTTGTATTATTTTAAGTTTATCAATTTTTTGTGTTCAATTTATACCTATTTTATGTATCAAATAATTAATGAATTAACATTAGATGAAAATATTATTAATAAAGGTCGCTGATAATTTAAATATATTTTTAGTTATTTTATTATTCTAAGTTTATATACCCCCTATAGTACATAAAAATTTAATTTACTAGTATTTACTAAGGTGTTGCTATGATAAAACATTCATAACATTTATTTATCTACATTTATATTAATAATAATAAATTAGGAAAGTTTTAATAAAATACTATTATTAAATATAATAAAATCAACATAATGTTCTAGATTAAAAGTAGATTATTATTAAAATGCAATACTAGTTCTTACATGAAATTAGACATAAAGAACATCATAAATATGAGTAATTTTAAAGAATTTATGGCAAATTTCAATGAAATAATAAATATGAGTCTATTGTACCGAATATTAACCCGGGTGTTATGTATAATAGGATGTGTGTATCAAACATACAAAATAAGTGAATTATATTTTTCATACCATACCTCTACTAACGTACTCCACGAGTCGCTTAACAATGTGTTAACACAACCGGCGTTCACTATATGTATGAATAAAACACTATTAATTAAACCGGAATTATGGCACAAATTCTTCATCACTGAGAATATGACACAAATCAATGAGAGATTTAATAACCTATCGATTGGTGAGCAGTTTTGGTCATTGGTATCACCGAATACAGTATTCACGTGCATAATATACACGCAGAATGGCGATATGTATGATTGTATAAATAATCACAAGTATATTGAGTCTATGAATCGTGACGATTATTGTTTAACATTATACCCTATGGAGAGTATTTATAATAATTATAGTTATAATTCGTTTGAAAATATTAAAATTAAATATCATCAGGATAAAAATATAAATGTTGTAGAAACGTTTACAGGAATGTATGTTAACATGAAAGTACTTCGAAATTTAAGCAAGTATATTTACTTAAACAGTAACACACATTATAATGTACACGCGAGCATACATCGATATCAATTTTACAATATGATTAATTACGATAGAAAAAAGCTAACTAATTTTAGCATGTTTAAAGTAGTCAGATACAGACAATCTATAGTATTAAATAATGTAGCTGATAAATCACATAAGCATGGTTGCTTTGATAGATCAACATTAAAGCAGTGTTTATCTGAATGTAATACTAGGAAAATGATAGAACATGGTCAATTTATTAACCCAAAAGAGCTATTTTATAAACATATTAACTATAGTAATAGTTATTTCAATGTAAATTTATATGAATTATATTTTAGCCACATATTTGATAGACCTTTTAAAAATCAATGTAATAATGAATGTGGCGATAGACAAGAGTGTATTAAATATTATTTTTCAGTCGATAAACGTGTTACATATGAAGCTAAAGCTGAAGGGGATTCAGTAGTCCTTGAGTTCCCATCGGAACCCACAGTTGTATACGAGATATCACTGAAAATGTCTTTCGAGGAGTACTTGAGTCTAACGGCAAGTATTATAAGCCTTTGGTTTGGGTTTTCGATACTGTTTTTTACCGAATATTTGCAAAATATTTTTATGAAATTAGATGTAAACAAGTTAACAGTTAACTGTTTAAATAATCACATTATAAATAAATGTAATATGCATGCGAATTTATTTGTTAATGTTTTAAAAAATCAATCTTATTTCAAACGAAAGTGTAAATCAAATAAAATTACAAACATTTCGTAAAGTAGTGATTAGTGTTTGTTATCCAAGTATGCATTTATTGTTTTGTATACCCCAGTCCTCCCTGTGCCATACAATAGAAACCAATGTGTGAAATCATTTTGTTATCAAATAACTTATACATTAATTTATTACACTATTTTATTACTTGATAATATAAATTTATTATAATTTCATGTTCATAAATGTTGTTTAAATGTATAAACCCATATTATAATAAAATTTGATGTGAATAAATTTAATATTTGTGTAAAAACTTAACAATCACCAAGTACACATTCAAATCTTCCCGTTCTATGACATACGAAAACGCGGACAGACAATACCGATACATACAGCGGGCTATGTATGCGGGCTGTGGCATAGCCTTCGTAAGCACCGCCACGGTATTCATTATGGACACCTGGGTAAGTACATAAAGAGACACAACATTACTCACAAATCTAACCCCAACCCCACAATCAGAGTATCGTCAAACCTACCTATCGTCAGATAGAACTACCGGTATAACCGTATCGCTGGGTGTGTTGGCTCTACTACTGGAGACAATGGGCATTTGGATCGCCTATAAGGAGATAAAGCGGTTGTGTTTAATATACGCCATATTGTAGTGTATGTTGACATCCCTGGCCGTAGTGGACGGCCTCGTGGGCGGAGGCACTCTATTCTACTACTTAGCGGCCGTTATTTTTGTGAGCGGCTGTTTTGGTCTGTGTTTGGCGAGAGATATGCGACGACTCGAGGTATTGGCACAGTTTCCGGCACTTCTATCGTGATGGTCGCCACCACTCGGGTTAGATGTTTATGTACTTTCAATTAATATACATTTTGGATCAGGTCAATTTACTAATTATAAAACCAGGATTTATGTCATAATTTATAAATAAAATGTGTTATATAAAAATAATTAGCATGTAATAGATAACTAAGTATTTTGACAATTTTTAAAAATTCAGTTTAATTATTAAAAAGCACTTATATCAAAGTACTGTACCGATATATAATACCATTAACATTGACAAAACTATCTAATTAATAGATTTAAAAAGATTATACTAAGTTATGCAATATGGATTATGAATAATAAATGGATTATATAATGAAAACTTCATTAGGATGCCTGACATGTAATCAAGAGGACCTGGGTTCAAGTCCCGGGCGCGACCTTTTAATACAATTTGTCTTTTCAATGATTTCTAAGACTTTCACCCGTTTATCTGATATGAAAAACAAGGTTTGCAGGCAATGCTATAGAAACCCACATTTACAGTTAAGCTAATATAGAATCAATTATAATGTAATAAATTATAGGTATTTATCGTCTATACATGTCTATTCTTTGTATGGAATTTCTCAATATTTTATTAAATTTACTTGTTGTGGAACTGTATATCCGTCCCATAGGCTTAGCATGGGGTTTAGTGAGATACTTAGCACTTTTAGGCTATTTTTAAATTTTCAAGAAATTTTGAAAATTTTCAAACCATTGTTGTGGAACCGTATATCAATTCCATAGTGCAATTTGGTCGTACATTTTCGACCACATGTCCCTCAATGTCCATTTTCTTTGTAACGCTATAGGATTTTTTGTTCCGCAACCGACATTTTTTGACACACCCGTCATGCACCATCATTATACACCATTTTCCCATAGGTTTAACATGGGCCTAAAAACACAGCGTCATTACGTCATCGGAAACACTTTTGCCAACTTTTGCTGGGATTTTCCATAGGAAAAACAAAGTCCTTAACGGCTAAACTTTCAAAAAAACCCATGTTAAATCGTTAAATCTATGGGATTGTGTTAAAATGCGTCATTAGCGTCATTAATGACGGAGTGGGTGGGGGTAGGGGTTAGTACAGAGTGATTTGATAACCCACTCTTTTACTGCGTAAATGTGGGTAATAAGTTAGGCGTGAACCACAAAGTACATACGCACGCCTAGGGGGAGGGGGGTCATGCCAAAGCGTATGTCCCCTTGTTAAACTCCTATGTACGATGGGCGTTTAGGGGGGAGGGGGTCAATTTTTGACCAAAATTTTGCGTACGTACTTTATGAACCTTATTGAAAAACATCTCAAAAACATCATAAATTTACAAACATTTTATTACTGGTATCAAACATTTCAAACATTTTGCTATACAACTTGATGCCACTAATATAGCTGCTGAGTGGGTAAAAGATCACAACCCCCTGGTATATTACATAAAGGTCCTGAACAACCACCGAAGAAAATGCGGACAGACACTATAACTACAATTGATCCAATGGAAGAAGCATAAAATTCATTAACTTGAATTGAATATATTTATAATATTTCTATATTGTATGTTATTAATTGATTAATCAAGACAGAATAAAATATTTACTATTCAAATTTGAATACAATTTTGTTATCCAATTGAACCTTTTATAAAATAAAATAGGTTGTCCGGCACCTGTCGAGGACTGTCCATAACTAGGGGGCTGTTGTGTTGACTGTCCATAAGAATTACCCACCGATGAGTGATAGCCAGTACCCATGGGCTGGTGTTGCGATTGCTGATAAGGTCCGGTAGGTCCAGTCGTATACATCTGGCCATTTGGTGGTCCGTAGTTGGGTACCTGTCCTGAGGGTGGTGTTTGATAACCATAATTAGGTTGACCTGGCATTCCCGACACGTAAACAGTGGTACTTCGGGCCAAATTCTCGAGTCGTTTCATATCTTTGGCAAAGTATGAGCCAAAACAGCCGCTCACGAAGAATACGACCATTAGATACCAGAGCAGACCTCCAGCGCCCGCAATACCGCCGTATAGACACAGACCTGCCAGCACTGACGATAGTACAGCGTAGATAATACAAAGCCAGTAGACCTCCTTCATGGCAGCGCCTATACCCAGCAGTTCCAGTATTATAGTCAACACACCAAACGATATGAATATAGATCTGAGGGTACTCTGGCATTGGATTAGGGATTAAATTTGTGGTCAATTATTATGATCAATATTGAAATTAATAAATTATCAGGGTTTTACTTACAATAGAGCTCTCGGTGTAAAGGCTGTCAATAGCATTGAGGGCTATCATGAGTAAGGCAAACACAATGACCGCGGACACCAGGGCCACACCGCACCCGGCGTACATACCTCGCTGCAGGTTCCGGTGCCTACTGTCTGCATTTTGGTAGGCCATGGTGAATTAGTGTTAATTTATTGTAATAACTTGGTAGAATATAAGTTAACTTAAGGATATAACTTGGTGAAACTAAAAATAGTGAAGTGTTTCCAACGAGTATTGTGTGATTAATTTGCTTTGTATTATATCTTATACCTAAAAGTCTGCGTTTTATGGTTTATTAGATTTCATCGCATTTTTGAAACACGACTTACGAGTTAACAGTACTTTAATGATTAGCGATTATCTCTTATCAGGCATACCTACTCTAAGATATTAGTAACCTATCCATAAAATATATAATAAATACTCAACTTTTAACGTACTTGCGATATGTCTAACAGATTTTGTAATTATTATGCTATTCGGAAATAATTTGGTGTGTATTATACTAGCTATCACTAGATAATTATCATGGTTACGTTGGATCGGGATCAAATTAATTAAGTGACTAATGTTGTGAGTCACATACAGTGATTATCTAACAAGTGTAAGAGTAAAATACAAAAAATATAACAACATGATTTAAGATAGTTTAATTAATTAAAGTATTAAGTAATAAAATAATTTTTGTTTTCTAAAAATATATGTACAAACATATTAATTTATCAATGATTGCATTTTGCGATTATTACACAAATGAATGAATAATTTAATAAATAATTGCAAAGTCTCTACACAACACCCGTGTCTATAAGTCAGGCATAGTCTTATGCGGGGCTATATATCCAACCATAGGTGGTTCGGGATCTAATTGCTGTCCACTACCTCCCGGTTCAAACTCACTATAACTCGGGGGTTGAAGCCCCTGCTGGGCATAGGAAGTACCGACCGGTGAGTCATAAGCACTGGTCATCCCTTGATGTTGCGATGACTGGTAACCGCTTCCAGGGAAAGCATACATATGACCATTAGGTCCCTGCACAGGTACGCCATAATTAGACATCTGTCCAGGGGGTACTATCTGACCGGGGTGCAACATCTGTCTCTGTGGTAACCCCTCTGCAGGAGGTGGCACTTGATACACAATACTCTGCTGCGGGGCCGGTAGTCCGTTGTAATACACAGCCATACTCCAAGCTAACCTCTTAAGTCGTTTGATATCTCTGGCAAAATAGCAGGCGCTGGAACTGGAGACCAAAAATATAGCCGCTGAGTAGTATAATTCCCCTTCAGTTCCGATGATTACACCCCCGATCAGACACAGTGCGCCCACCGCTGTAGATATGATGGCGTATACGATACACAACCAGTAATGCTGTTTATATGCCGCCCAAACCCCCACCAGTTCTAGGAATATAATGGCCACACCTATCGCCGCGACCACAACTTCTGCGATCTGTAAGGGAAGTCATAATTGAATTAAGTTTTAGATTATTATGAGTATTAATTGTCGTTACTTGAGAAGTGGCAAAGAAATCCTTATAACGATAATTGTCGTTATAATTGTAATTATTGTTAATGAGATTGTTGATTGTGATGGACATCACCACAATATCAGATACCAGTGCCACAGCGCACCACAAGTATAATGACCGCTGTATAATCAAGTGCTTTTTGTCCGAGGTTGGTAGAGCCATTATCAATATATTCTCGGCACCAAGCTAATAAATAGTGAAAAATTTATAAAACAAATAAACTAGGAATATAATTATAGTTGATTTACATTGATAATTAATAATAATTATTATAAATATTAAATGCTAACATAAAGTTATTAAAACTTTATCGAAAATGTTTTGATTTATTTCACATCACTTGTGAAATGCCTGTGGTTTAATGGCAAACAATGTATTTCACTGAGATTACCTGTGTAGGTTTATAAGTGTTTCATGTTTCCCTCAAACATCTTATATATTACTTAATTATCTGAGAATATTCTGAAAATTAAAAATTTACAAGAATTTATATTACATGAATAATTGTAACCTAGTAGAATAATGAATAATTTATTTACACAATTAACCAACACAACAGGCGCATTTTGAAAAATCAAAATAACTTTTAAACTGTATAAATATGAACTGAACTGTACTGGTATTTTATTACTTTATTATTAAATTACAGTTTACAGTATTTGCTTTCAAACAGTATGTGTTATCGTAATCAGTAAATGTGCGGTATATCTGGTATTGTTTTAAATATTTCTTATCATATATTATTTTAGCGACCCTAGCATTACATTGAATAAGACTCACAAGTCAGATTGTCATTATAGTAAGGCATGATTCACATATTACGTTCACACTTGGGGGAGAGGGTCAGCCAAAGCGAACTTTTGCGAACGAGAGGGGGAGGGGTTGAGACGTTAAGAACATTCGCATATAAATTATATGATATAATGATTAATAGATTTAAGAAAATAATTTTAAGAATTTAACGGATTAATTTTTATCAAAGTTAATCCTTTGAAAACACTGTTTGATAACTTTGAATGAATGGATGAACTTTGAATAGAAATAATTTCCAGTTTATGAAATATTTTGAAAGTGAAAATAATTTTATAAAAACATTTTTAACACGACCACCTCTAATACTATTTCTAAAATTACTGCCGATTATATGTTTATAATTAATTATTTTAATGATTGGTTTAATTTTAATTAAGTTATATATAAATTTAGTGGTATTTGATTCCTCAAAAAGTTCGAACGTAATATGTGAATCACACTTTATAGGGACTGCTATTTAATATGATAAGGGTGAGTGCATTATCTCATAAATAGGTGATACCCTTTTTATAAAGTTAATATAACTGTAATAATTTGTATTCTAAATATTCAACTCAATATTGTGTATTTCAAAGTTTACAATAAAGGTTTTGTAAATTTATTATTATGCTATTTTTTATCAGTATCAATCAAGTGATTGAATATTACAATTATATCATTCTATAATTATCCTTAGATATATAAATAGAATGAGATCCGATAGTAATGTCAGTTAATCTATTGTCGTGTTTACGGAATATTGTGTCCATTATATGACAGTCAGCTTTGGGCACAAACCGCACGTGAATTGCATTCAAATTCTTGTATGAATTCATGAGTATTTCAAACACTCTTTCAGTCGCTTCCGAATTGATCTCAATATCAATGGATTTAATGTTTGTACACTTTGTGACCAATGATGACAATAACGGTTTGAATCTTATGGACATATTCTTGAGCTGTTTATCTGATAGCATAAGAGTGTCTGCATTCTTGAATACCAATCGCTGCCACTGTTTGGACAGACATTCAAATCGGAAACAGTCTTCGAGTGACAGGTAAGACAATATGAATTGACACATATCACCACCAAACCTGTCCATTGAGTCCTTTGGATAATATTCCTCTAGAGTCCCATTCGTTAACATTTTGAACAAAAATAAAAATTGTTAAACAAATACTTAAAGAGCGTTAAGTTGTAAACAAGTGATCAGTAAATGAATAGTAATTTGTTTGAATGAGAGCACGTGTGTAGGTATTACGTGAACACGTGTATCAGTACTGTCTCAAGTTATTCACCTTTTACAAAAACTTTTAATATATTGTAGCATGGCATTTTACAATTGACTGGTCTACTTTGCCTAGTTACACAAGTAAGCAACTTTATAAAACTATATTATTAATAAGTTATAAAATATCGTACCCACTGTGGTTTTTTATAACATTTAAAGTAGTAAAAATATTCAATGTATAATTAAAATATGATCTTAAGTTCAAAATAACATGAAAATTATTACTGAAAATTGAACAAGTAGATTTATGTCAATATTTACTAAAAACAAACATCAATGTCATTGAACATACGTTTAATAACGGTTTCATGACGTAATGGTAAAGCAATAAATGATTCATAATGGTATGATAAGTAAAACCTAAAATTGCAAAAATAAGATTTACAAACCTACACTTTATTTCAGTAAGCAATTCAGTGCAATAGATTGAGTTCATAAACATCTTGATACAAATGACAGTAAATATCTAGAATACAATATGCAGTATTGAACTATATATAAAAAGCAAATAAATAATTGATAGGCTTTCTGTAAGAGAGAACTATCTCTAAATATTAATACAAATATATCAATAGTTATTATGAGTTATATTGTAAACTACAGGTCATGTATGAATTTAATTAATGTATGAATGGTTATGAAGGTATGAATGTATGAAAATTAATTTTTATGTATTAATAATTAAATTAAACTAATATAATTTTTGTATTTATATTTTTATGAATATAGTGTAGTATTGAATACTAAGAAAACTTTTGTTACCTATCATACATTAATTAAATTCATACATGACCTGTAGTTTACAATATAGCTCATAATAACTATTGATATATTTGTATTTAGAGATAGTTCTCTCTTACAGAAAGCCTATCAATTGAGTAATATAATTTTATTTAAAAAATAATAAAATCGTCGTCTTTGAGAAACTTAATAATTGTATATATTTTTGAATAATTGTTTTATAATTTAAGTAATTTGCAGTTATATAGCAATATAAGTAAATATTAACTAAATAAGAGTTTAATTGATTTTTAGATTAGATTATATTCAATAATATAGACATTGATAGATACAAAATACTTTTAATTCAATTAAATCTCTTTTTGTCAAATCTGTGATATATTTTCAGTTTAGACATCCGTTGCATACAATTCTCAATACTGGGGCTCATCACCAGTTCCCTCCTAATATACACCGTCTGAATGTGTGGTAAATGTGTGTGAATTGAGTCAAAGAAACTCGCGTTCAATACACAGGTCTCCAAATCTAACGTCAATTTTGACAAACGCTTTATGTTTGACACGGATTTCAGTGTCAAATGTATGACATTTTGTTGGTCTGACCTAGGATACATACATAGCTCGAGATGTTGTAAATTCACAAAACAATCGAATTATCGTATATTAGCTTAAATTCTTGAATAAATTGGGGATAAATAGTGATATATAGACGCCGTATGTGTCGACACTCGCGGGCCAGTAGTCTGAGGCCATCGATGAACGACTCCCCGATAGACATGGAAATGCAATTGATCTCAAATCGTAACGCCCGGAGTTCCTGTAGTTTAACTAACGGTCCAAATATATCGGTCATTATTTCCTCACCAAATAAATTATATCGCATTTCAATGCGTTTCAAGCGATTAGCGTAAAAGTCGGTAAATGCGTGCAAACGCTGCCAATCGCTGCCCAAAGTATAGTGAAAGGCAATGCCTATAAAATATTGTGAATTTAACTATAAATTGTCAAAGTATCATAAACATATTTAACCCAAAATGGCAATTAACTTTACATAAACTATGGAAACTTATCTCAGGTTTATAATAAATTAATGTTTTAAGATGTATGACTACAACATGTCCACTCGTTAACAACAGAATGAATTTAGGGGTAATTTTAATGTAAAGTAAAGTGTTTATAGTGAACAGTCAAATAAGTTTTTAACAATGATTTAAATACACTGTACCTATCAGAGTTTTAATTAATAACTCGTTGTTGTGACCAAAAATGTACTTCAAATCCCATTGGACTTTATGGCACTTTATGCGCTCGAGTCGTGTCGAGTATATGCCGTGCGATTCAAACACATTGTACCCAATGCTCGGGTTTATGATTCCCGTGATTCTCGAGCCGTACGTACGGAGTATACGTTTGTATAGATAGGCCTCAATCTTCAGTCCAAACCGTACGTACACCACATCCAAGTGCTTGTAGGCATTCATCAGTACCTCAAACTCCCTTTCGTTGACTTCCGTATGGATGGCAATCCTAATGCGTCTAATGTTTGGCAACCTCTTGATTGCCGTTTCATATGAACGCCAATCGATGGCATCGACACTCATTTTGTCATAGATATGCCATTTCATGAGTTGCCGCTCATCAGCGATCAGTAGGATGTGATCCCTGAAGACTAATCGTTGCCACTGTTTGGACACACATTCAAATCGAAAGGAGTCCTTAAACGCCATGTAAGACAACACGAGTCCACACAAGTCATCACCGAATCGCTCGAACGAGTCTTTGGGATAATATTCCTCTTCAGTTGAATTCATAGCAATCTATGAGTGAAATTGTGGACAAAAATAATTTCAGAAAAATAATTTCAATTTTATTTGACTCGAGATAATCTAAATGATTGATGTTTACTAAAACACACTACTTATCATGGCAATTAATTAGTTAAATTATACCTATTCCTAGAATATATAATAAACTAATCAAGAAAACTTTTTTATTTAATAAGTCTATTCATTTAAACTTATGTTAAATTATATAACAAAGTGCGATTCACAATGTTATCTAATATTACTCAACAATTGTATACAAGTTTTAAAATACAACTAAACAGTATGCTTAAGCAATAGTTAAAATATTTTTCAAATGAATAATTATTTCCATAAGTTAATTGACACCCTATTTATTTTGACAATTTGCTTATCTATTTATTAAAACAATGTGATAAACAATATTTATATGCAATCCTTATATAATATTTAATCCTTATTAAATGGTTATTGTTTTACTATAAATAAATTTGTTGTATAAACTTTATAAGAGAGAAAATATGTAATCAAATATTTGATATCCTAACAAGTAAGTCAATCCTACTAAAACGTTAAATAATAAAATTCATAAGTTATGAATCATAACTATAATTAAATAGCAAAAATATTTCGTGGCAAATGTGTATCAATTGAATCAATGAATAACTCGTTTAACATAAATCGACTCAAATCTAGTGATAAATGTGTTAATCGTTTGCAGTCTGACAATGATTTTAAGCTTAATATTATATGAATTACTTTTAACTGCTTTTTAGGTACGAATTGTAATCTCAGTTCTTGTAATCGTGTGAAATATTTCATGGATTCATAGATTTGTAGGAATTTTATTAGTTTATCATCATTTATACGAAATTCAAATCTCTTTATATGTTTGCAATCAATGGCTAACTGTTTGAGACAATCGGTGAACGACTCGTTAAACATAATGTTTCTGTGAAGGGAATCAATGTTAAGACTAATTGTATTCAAAACTTTCAGTTTTTGTAACTGATTTACTATGTATTCAATATTCATTTCACACAAATTAATTGTAATAGACTTCAGACTATTTGTGTAGTAATCGGTAAATACTGTCAAACGGTTTAAATCGTCAGAAATATAATTAAATGAAAATGTAGTCAAACTTTTCACTAATAGCTCATTGTTTTCGTTAAAAATTGCCGACAAATCATCATTTATTGACAATTTCGTGAGTCTAGTGCATGACTTGTGGTATAATTTAAACAAATTATAGTCACAACTATTAGTGATTGTAATTGAAGTCAATTGTGAGCCATATTTACGCAAAATTGTGTCCACTATTTGGCGATCAGTTGTACGAAACGTGACGTGAATTGTATTCAAATGTTTGCACGAATTCATGAGTATCTCAAACATTATTGCCGTCGTGTCTCAAGTGATTGTCATATCAATGGATGTAATGTTTGGACACTTCTTGAGCAGTGGTTCCCATGTTCTCCAGACAATGAACTCTTTTCTTGAGTCCTCTCGAGTCAATAATTTATTGATTAGTTTATCGTTGACTTCAAGTGAATGTCTTCGCTTACAAAGATGGAAATATCCTGTAAATCATGTTTTAAATAACAGGTGCAGTGGAAACCTGACGTCACATTCACTTTATACATATTTGGAAATAGGGAAATGTATATAAAGGTGATTTAAAAACAATATCATAAATAATTTACAGTTAATATCAAAAATTGATATTAATATTACAACATACAACTTTTAATAAGCCTATCCCTACTGTTTGCCACATGCTATGGAGGGGAATTCCGTATTAAAAACGACTGTCCCTTTAGTGTATGGGCACGGACCCTGGGCAAGCAGGGTCACTACAACCCAGAAGGTGGTCGGTTCACACTAACTACAGGTGCCTCCCATAACTTCAACATTAACCAGGGCTGGGCCGGGCGTATATGGGCCGACACCCTGTGTCAACCGGACGGTTCCCAGTGCAAAACGGGTGATTGGGGTACGGCTACCACGCTGGGCGAGTGGAACCTTGCTGCAAAAACCGGTGACATGGACTGGTATGATATTAGCCTGGTAGACGGCTATAACGTGGGTATGCGTATCACACTGATACCCGGCACATTTGATAAACAAGGTCAAGATCGTTATAACTGCGGGGAACCGGTATGTATAGAGGGTATGCTGGCTCAATGTCCTGGGGAACTGGCGGTCAAGGATGACGATAAGACTATAGCGTGTATGAGCGCCTGTACTAAGTTTAAATCGGAAGCATCGTGAAGTGAAAGTAAATTGAGTGGTTATTATTGCCATCATTTGTTAGCCAGTAACATAATTGAAATTTTGAATTGACTAGAATTGGCGAATCAAGTAAATTAGCTTGTTAAATTAACATTCAATCATCACTGACATCCTCATTTTGTCATTGAAATGACATAAATTCTATGGATTCTACATAAAATGAATGCTAACTGCTATGTGCCGTCAAATATAACATAATTCCGGAAATGATTACCAATATATGAACACAAAATATTAGTATAACATTGTTTTCAATTAAATTTAATGTTATTTCCATGACAAAATGAGAATGTCAGTGATGGTTGAACGTGAATTTAACAAGCTAATTTAATTGATTCGCCAATTTTAGTCAATTCAAAATTATAATTATGTTACTGGCTAACTAATCATGGCAATCATAACCACTCAATTTACTTTCACTTCACGATGCTTCCGATTAAGACGGAGGCCTATTGCTGTACCGGTGCCCACGCGCCTAGAGATAAGTGTGTTAAAGAGTACTGGCCCGTCGACTACCCGTCCATTTTCAAACACTACTGTCCCGATGCCTATAGCTGGGCCTACGATGATGCATCCAGCATGTTTGCGTGCCGTGGTAAACCGTATACTGGGTACGAGGTCACTTTTGTCCTAAATAATACAACGGATTATAATTGTGCGAGTTGAATTAATTTTGTAGAAAAATATTTTATGGTTCAAAATTTTTATTAACAATGTTTAAAAACTTATTGTATCATAGTTATTTTTATTCGGTTAATTTGTTTAAACATATAGTTAAAATATTAATTAATTAATTATATTGTATAACTTATATCTATAATTATCAAAGTGACAATCCGGGTCACACTAGTAGTGACACAACTTTAAGCATTTTAACATTAATTTTAATTCAGACTAACGATAAAGTGTTTAAAGTTTTGATATTGTTAGTTTTGCTGTTTGTATTTGTTTATATGATATTTGAAAGCTCAATTAACAATATAAAATAACATTTAATCCGATACATAACCACCATCTGGCCATTCTGGACCACAGCTTAAACATACAATTGCTGTTTTTAATTGATCAAGGTATCGTGTTGTATGACTACAATTCACATCTTCGTCCGAGTAAACTGTTGATGAATATGGTTTATCATGCATAATTTTAATCGTATTATATGTGCATTTGTGCTTCATGATATAATATTGAAACATTTTATATTGTGGATCAATTGGCACAATTTTATTTCCAATTAATTCAAAATGATTTCCATGTTTGTGTAAAATGCCTGCCTCAAATGCGTATTGCTCCAATAGTCTAGTTGTGCCAGTGATTGAATTATCTAATCGTTCAGGGATAATTTTAGGTTGCCCATCATAATTTGGTAAGGTACCACAAAAATATATCATCCCCTCGTTGCTTATCAAATTTGATGATTTGTGTATATACATGGTGTTAATAAGACTGCCAATTGGATTTCTCGCTATAAACAGTAAAGAATTATGGCCAAGGTTACGAAATTCACGCGATCCCCAACTGTACAATTTACCATCCTCAGTTATAGCGAATGATGTGTTCCGAAAGCAACTTATATATTTAATAAGTGTATCATTATTATGATTGAACAAAACAAGCCTGGGCGTAATAATATTTAATAAACTAGGATTATTTTCAATTTGACCATGTTCATTTTTGCCCCACCCATACACATGTCCTCTAGAATCTAATGCAAGTGTATGACTTTGACCGCAACTTATCTGAATGATTTTATTATTATTATTAAAATTATTACTATCGTTAGGAATTATTATTTGTTGTGGAAGTCCAAATGTATTTGTCAAAGGTCCTTGCCCTAATTGAGCCTGATCATTAACACCAAATGAATAGACAAGTCCAGTTTCAGTCAACGCAATAACGAAATGTTTTCCATTATAAAAGTTTTTGATTTGTTTATTGCATAAATCAATAATCAAAACATGATTGTCAGTAGTATTAAAATTAGTTTTAAAAAATGTTCCAACACCATAGACTTGACTTGTAACTTGATTAGTTTTATTAACTGATTCTATAATATAAACAATCTCCTTTTCCTTACCACGTTCATTTTGTTCTAACTCTCGTTTGTTTAATATATAGAATAAACTTATCTTGGATACATCCAATTCTTGTAAACTTTGTAATTCCGTTATTGAACTCAATATTTCAGTACACATTATTAAATATAAATATGTTTTTAAATAAAAACAAACAAATAAATATAGTTTTTAAAATCACAAATTATTAAGTAAAATGGAGTCATCTTGATGTTAATAATTCACTTAAAATACTTTCTAACTTAGTCATCATTTGTGACTTAATAAAATGTGATTAAGATATAAATATCATATATAAAGTAACGTTATACATATAATAATTTTGTATAAGTGAAATAGTTTTTTTTATTGCTTTTTGCGTTTAATATTTTATTTTATTATAACGTTGCTAAGTAGCTAAGTTAAATCAGTATTTTTATCTACCCGTATTATGTTAGCATAGTGATAACTGTTGAATAGTTATACTATTCTTATGCTACTCATTATAAACTGAAGTATTATACGTATTATATATTTGAAAATGTCTATTTTGGAAAAGTTTAATATCTGTTCAAAATTGCCTAATAATATTAAAAAGTCCATTAAATTATTTCATGTGCTTGATGATCGTATTGGTGACAACATAATATTTGTAACTAATGATGACCATGTTTACAGTAGAGGGACAAATGACGAGGGTATATTAGGTCTAGGCCATAATACGCCAGTAAATGATATTACTGAAATTGTTGAATTAAATAACAAAAAGATTAACAAGTTCATCAACGGTATTTCATTTATACTTGCTACTAACCAGTATGGTGACATATTTAGTTGGGGTCAAAATGAATTTGGTCAATTGGGGAGAGAGCCCGGAAATTTTGATGAGTATTATAAACCTGAACAAGTTACTTTTGACATAAATTTTCAAGATATTTTAAATATTTGTTGTGGACTACGGTATTCATTAATACTTATGAGAAATGGTGATGTATATGGTTGGGGTAGTAATAAATGTGGACAGTTAGGTTGTGGGAAAGAAAAAGGTAAAATTATAATAAAACCAATTAAAATTCAATTTGGGACTCAAGATACAATACGTTATATTTCGTGTTATGTATTATCATCGTTTGCAATAAATGACGTTGGTCAAGTGTATAGTTGGGGCTATAATAATAATTATCAACTCGGTCATGATGTAAGACATAATGTGTATACTCCAACATTACTAATTAATATGACAAATATTAAATCAATATGTTCATCATGGATAAATACGTATTTTAAACAAGACAATTTAATATATTTTAGTGGATTATTTATTGAGAACAATAAAGAATTGCATGAAAAAACTCCTAAACTGTTAAAAATTTCTCGCGATTTTGATGATCTTATTCAAATTAATTCATTAAATTATTTTGATTTTGTTATCGGAGTTGATAATACTTCAATTTATAAGATTCATGGAAAAACTATTTTTAAAACAATTTACCCAGATATTATTGATTTTTATTGTAAAGAATATCAGATATCGTATAATACTGTTAGAAATACAAAAATTGGTAAGTAAAATTTTTAGTTTTATTAAGTAAATTACGATCAATATTTAAATTACAATAATAAGTTTAATTTATATTAAATAATAGTTTTTAAGATGTCACAAATATTAGACAATTTTAAAATCTGTGCCAAAATACCGGATAATATTAAGCAAAAAATCATTTTAATCCACGTTTTCGACGACTCGAACGGGAAAAACATATTATTCGTAGCAAACAATAATTTGGTGTACGGATTGGGATCTAATTGCGACGGCAGCCTAGGTCTGGGTCATAACACCCCTGTCGACACACCTGAGCTGATCCCGGATCTATGTGGCAATAAGCTAGCACAATTTATCACCGGATATTCATTTGCGTTGGCCATAGATGACGGTAACAGGGTCTATAGTTGGGGTCATAATAGTGAGGGTCAGTTAGCCCGGGATGTGACCCCAGAAGGCGTTTATCTAAAGCCAAACAAAATAGCATTTTTTGATAAGAAAAATGTTTCGCAAATCAGTTGCGGTTTACTTCACACCTTAGCCCTCACAGCTGAGGGACAGGTGTACGGCTGGGGTCGCAATAGCTTTGGACAGGTAGGTTGTGGTGTCACCGGGTCCGAGTATATTACTCGGCCAACCTTGATCAAATTTGCAAACAACTACGTAATCAAAACTATTTACGCTAATTTATCAGTGTCATTTGCCATAACCTGCGATGGACAGGTATTTAGTTGGGGTTTCAACATAGATAGCCAGCTAGGTCATAATATCCCTGATGAGTTTGTGTTTACCCCGCAATTAATTATGGATTTATCTGGCATTACGATGATATCCACGTCACTTTATATGACATATTTTTTGTCAAACACTAATTATTTGTATTTTTGTGGCAAATATTACACAAATAATTATGAGCTAGCACAGAAACCTCCGGTTAAAGTGCAATCTACGTATACAATGACAGACTTATCGCACTTTTTATCGTATAATTACTCGGATTTTATGTTTGTATTAAGAAATGATAAGGTATTCAAAGTACTGAATACTAACGGTATGAATGAGACAAGGTACAATAACTTTGAGGACTTTTATGCTAGCGAATATCAGATTACTTATAACACGTTAAAAGTGATTCACAATGAGCCTGATATTAACGAAGTGGTATCACGGATTAGGTTGGATTCGACGAGTAATGGTACTAGCTCACTTATACTTATTTTTGGCCATAATAAATTTAACCTTAACATTTTATAGATAATCAGCAATCAAGGACCACACAAAGAGTTTTAAGCAAACGTTTAAGTATACAGTCAACAAATAGTGGAAAATTGAGCGAGGGTACTTTTAAATATAGATACTGAACTTGTATTGGAATTAAATATTCAAATAATCGTTGATTTTAATTTTTAAATTAGAAAACATTTATGAGAGAGAATTCGAGGTTCTGGATACAATTGGATCGGGGGCATTTGCAGCAATCAAGGACCACACAAAGAGTTTTAAGCAAACGTTTAAGNATCACCAATGACCAGGGCAATAGGACGACCCCCTCGTACGTGGCGTTCACAGACACGGAACGTCTAATTGGAGACTCGGCTAAGAATATGAATCCGTCGAATACCGTCTATGACGCCAAGAGACTGATAGGTCGGGGCTTTGATGACCAGTTGGTTCAGTCAGATATGAATCACTGGCCCTTCGAAGTGGTGTCCGATTCGGGCAAACCTAAGATCAAAGTGGACTATAAGGGAGAGTCGAAGTACTTCTCTCCCCAAGAGATCTCAGCGATGGTGTTGTTGAAGATGAAGGACATCGCGGAGGCATACCTGGGCGGACAGGTGTCCAATGCCGTGGTGTCAGTGCCCGCCTTTTACAACAACTGTCAGCGTCAGGCTATCAAAGACGCGGCAATCATGAGTGGTCTTAATGTCCTAAGGATTATCAATGAGCCGACAGCGGCGGCCATTGCGTACGGACTCGACATGAGGGGAGAGCGCAATGTCCTTATCTTCGACTTAGGCGGCGGTGCGCTCGACGTGTCGGTCCTCACCATCCAAAACGGCATCTTTGAAGTGAAGTCGACGGCCGGAGACAACCATTTGGGAGGCGAGGACTTCGACACCCGAGTGGTCAACCATTTTGTAGCGGAGTTCAAACGCCAGCACCGGAAGGATCTGTCGGTGAATAAGCGAGCGATGCGTCGGCTGAGGAGGGCCTGCGAGGACGCGAAGAGGACGCTCTCGTCGTCCAGTGAGGCGTCCGTCCAAATAGACTCACTCTTCGATGGCATCGACTTCTACTCAACGATCACGAGATCCCGGTTTGAAGAGCTGAACGAAGACCTGTTTCGGTCGACTCTGAAACCGGTGGAGAGGGCGTTGAGGGACTCCAAGCTGGACAAGGATCAGGTGCACGACATCGTACTGGTGGGCGGGTCGACACGGATTCCCAAAATACAGAAACTTCTTCAGGACTTCTTCGGCGGTAAACAACTCAAAAGCGTTAATCCGGACGAAGCGGTCGCATACGGGGCCGCAGTTTTGGCGGCGATCCTCAACGGCGGCAGGATTGAGGCCGTGCCGGACTTCCTGCTGCTCGACGTGACCCCCCTGTCCCTGGGCATTGAGACTGCGGGTGGAGTGATGACCACTGTTATCAAACGCAACACAACTATCCCCACTCGTCAGACCCAGACATTCACCACCGCATCGGACAATCAGTCTGTAGCTACCATTTGGGTGTATGAGGGGGAGAGTGCTATGACTCGAGACAACAACCTTTTGGGCAAATTATTGTTGACAGGCATTCCTAGGGCGCCCAGAGGTAAGTCTGAGATTAAGGTGACCTTCGACATCGACGCCAACGGTATCCTCGATGTGTCGTCCGTTGACAAGGGTATCTTCGAAAAGAATACCATTTCGATTCGAGAGGTGAACAAATCAAGTGAGGTGACCGAATTAAGTAAGGTGACCAAATCAAGTGAGGTGACCTCCGACATCGACGCCTACGGTATCTTCGATTTGTCGGAAGATGACGAGTTTTTCCGATGACGACGATGACGATGAAAAGAATACGATTTCGGTTGGAGGGGACCAAAATACTTGTATTCTTCTATAAAATGTTCATAAAATACTTGACAAGTATTTTTTGAAAATATGATGGCAATAGGCTAATTTGTTAAATTATTTTCATTGAAATTCATCAATTGTGCTATTATAAAGTTTATCCCTATTGATCCGAACTAGTTTAAATTTAATTAAAAATATTTACAATTATATTATAATAACAAAAACTATACCAAAATGCTGTTAATAATTAATATTTTGGGTACGATTTACGGAATATTCGTAAAATCCATACCTTATTCATAATTTATAATGACTCATTATTAATGAGCTTTAAAAAATATAATTTCAACTATAAATGACACTGATTTATAGTATTATTGTATAATGTATAATAATATTGATTAAAAGAATATTTTATTGATATATGTGATAGGTATATTCAATCTAAAGGCAACGGTTTAGCTTTGAAAACTTAGTAATGGAGATCTAAAGCACATAAATTAATAACTTACGCATACAATATATATGAGTCAGATGCTAATTTAAAACTTTTGCTTTACATTACTAAGTTTTCAAAGCTAAACCGTTGTCTTTAGAATGAATATACCTGTCACATGTTACCATAGATTGAAATATAATTTATAAAACGAAAATCATGTTATAAAATAATTTAAATAGTGGTATGAGTAGTTTATAAGATGATAATAATTTAAACCTTATAAAATAGTTTAGAAAGTTCATTAAATATGTACTACAGGTGATTAACACTGGACTCCCTATAGATTTAAGACAAATGTGTGAATCAATATCAATTTCGGACGATTACGTGAACTCGATGTCTATATTGATAACTACAGTCACACAGGTTTTCAATACAAAACCGATTTGTCACTAAACATGTCTGAATGCAAACGATTAACACATTTGGTGTTAAAATTGAGAGATTTTGCATTGAATGAGACATTTTTTGACTCAATTCACACACATTGACCACACATTCAAAAGTCGGTAATAACAGCCATTTTGGAGTTAAGCCCCGCTATGGAGGCATCGATTAAATTGTTACCAAAACTTATTAGTTTTAACTTTCATTCCGTGAAACCGTGTCCACTAAAATTTGAGGATTTTTAGATAATTACGATTATATAATTTAATGGATATTGTGTACAATTAATTATTTGTATTTACTATAATAATATTTAACTAAAA